GGGGAGGGGGGTCGTGGCCGGGCCGCACACGTGGGTGACGGGGGTCACCCACCCACCTTCTTGTCGCCCTCCTCCGCCTGCCCCCGGCGCCTCCGGAGCGGCTCCGGGGGGATGCCCAGCTGTGCCCACCCGCCAGGCCCCTCCGCAGCCCCCGGCTGTGCCCCCGCGCAGGGTCGTACCGGGGGTCTCGGTGGTCTCGCTGCGGCGCGGGGTGTCCAGCCCGCACCTGCCCCGCGCTCCCGGGGGTCCGGTACCGCAGCCCCCCCGCCCGGCAGCGCCGGGGCCGCCGCTCGCAGCCCCTTTCCTGCCACAGCCGAGCGGGTCTGAGCATCGCCAGGCGTCGGGAAGGGTTTTCCCATCTCCTCTGGCTCCTGTTTCCCCCCCCTCGGGTGCTGCAGGTCCTCCTCGCCACCCTGGGGCCCTGCTTGCCCCTTCCCTCAGCATCCTGGATTTTAGGGCTAGGCAGATTCTCCTGTCAGAAATCCCAGGGCTGGTTTAACCGCGGGTGTTACCGGGCTGTGTTTCTCGGGGAAATGGAGCAGGCAGCAAGCGCAGCATCCCTGGCTCCTATTGCCGTGCTGGAATAGCAGCCTTGCCTCTTCCCACTCCACAGCCAGAGTACTTTTGTGCCAGTTCCTTAATCCACTTGCAAAGCGGATTTGAGCTAAAACCTGACAAAAGGTGCTCTAAATCCCGCGGCGTTTGCACAGGCAGCGACTGCAGGGGAGCAGCTGCTCAGGTTCATGCCCAGCCTTACCCTGAGATGAGGGTTTGGGGAGGAGAAAAGAGCAACCAGGAGGGGAGAGCGATGACAGGAGCAGGCAGAGTGGATGTCAGACAGCTGGAGAGCGGATCAGTGCCAGGATCTGCAGCCTGGCAGCACCCAGAGCACAAACCCCTTCAGAGGGAAGAGCATCGGAGCCAGAGCGGGTGGACCCTGGGAATTGGCTGGGATTGGAGAGGCTTGGTGGCCTGAGGAAGATCAGCCTGGGCCTCTCAGAGCTCCCAGTTGCTGTTTAGTGTCATGGCTGGTCTCGACTGCCAGCGTGGTGCTGCTCTCGCCCCGTGGGACAGAGACAGTCCTGCCTGGAGCAGAGCACCCCAAAACCCAGGTCCAGCCCCACGGGGTGACACCATGGGAAAAGCCTCGTGCAGAGAGGGAAAGTTCCTACAAACCTCTCGATCAAAACACCAGGAATTCAAGCCAAAAAGCCCGACAAGAGCAGAGTTGCCCAGCGGCTCCCAGAACAGCAGCTCAGTGTGACACAGTCATGTGTGTCCTTAAAGCCAGGGACAGATTCTGTTGCTGACCTTAAAAATGCATGTGGTGAACCCTTTGACAACCCTTTGGTAAAGGGGCGACCTTGAGGCTTTGCATCCCAAACCTCTGCCCTTTGCTGCTGCTTCCTCACCCCTTGTGCTGCAGGATGGAGACAGGAGAAGGTCCTGGCACTCCAGGGACATGGCAGGAAACACGGGGCATGTCCTTTAAATGGAAAAATAATTCCAGATGAGTTGGGGAGCAGCCAGTTTGGCAGCCTGGGATTGATCTGCTTTAATTTGAGCCGATGTATTTATCATTGGCAGTCCTGTGGCTGAGGTGGAGGGGAGGGAGCGGAGCTGCTGCCTCTTGCTGCTGGAGGACTGGCAGTGCCAGGTGAGTTGTGACCAGAGCAGCTTTGAGAGGGGATTTCTAGTCACCCCAAGATTTCTCGTGGTTTTCAGAGGTTGCAGAAATCCACTTGAATGTCTAGGGCCTTCCCCAAAGCCCTTGGTTTGGGAGCTGAGCTTGGGGGAAGATGCCCTCAAACACAATGTCCAGCCTATAAAGCAGCCAGAGAAGCATTCCAAGAGCTGGGAGCAAACCTGTTCCCTCCAGTGTAGGGAAGCAGGAGGAAAAGCAGCTTCTGGACAGAGTTGGCTTAAAAATCAGTACATTTTGCTTTTATCCTGTCCTGTTGGGAGGAGGGAGCAAGAAGACCAGAGAAACAGGATGGTTGTTTTATGTTTCACTCCCCTTGGTGTTGGTGCCTGGGATGGGACGTGGCTGTGCCAGGGACTCGCTGTGGTGGCAGAGCCAGGGCAGATCCTGCCCCATCTCCCACTGCTGCCAGGCTCAGCCTTTCCCAGGGGATGATCCCTCGCCGAAGATAGCAGGGCCAGGGGCTTTTTTCCTATTTTATAGTGTTTAGAACTCAGGAATGTCTGCTTTTATTAGCTGTGCTAATCCTGCAGCACCAGATAACTCATCCCTCCCTCTAAGGCCCAAACCTAATCACTGCACTTCCCTCCAGCAGCAGCACAGCCCCCAATTAAACCCTGCCCTCAAAGCCCGATGGCACAGACGGACAAGGCGCTGTCTGCGAATGTGCTTGGCTTTTCAAGTCTTCAAATCCATGTTTAATGGATTTAAAATTTTTTAAATTCTTTAAAACTGTTTCAAGTCTTTAAATTCATTGATTTTCTTTTTTCCCCCAGTTTCTGGTTGTCACCTCACTCCTGTTTCCCACCAGGAGCAGGTGGTCCCTCTCTGCTCGGCAGCACGGGGAAGTGGAGCTGCCATAAGGCAGGAGGAGTTGGGCTGCTCCACGAGATGTGAGCAGTGTGGCTGCTGCGTTCCCATCCCCGGGATGGGAGTGAGCTGTTGCCGTAGCCCTGGAAATACCGTTGGGAATGTGGAGCACGTGGCCAGGAGCGTTTTGCGTGGGCAGCGGCAATTCCCGCGCCGCCGGCTCGCTGCGCCGTGGGCAGCCCAGGTGGGATGCCTGTCACCAGCAACATCTCCCCGAGTCCCAAATCTCACATTTCAGAGTGAAGGGAAGCAGGAGCCAAGTGAGGCCGTGCCTGAGCTTGTCCCCAGACACACAGACTCACCACGAGGCTGCAAAACCCCTCAACGTGCATCCCAGGCCTCGGTTTCCCTGCCTGTACATGGCTTAGTCTGGAGGCCTGGCTTAGTCTGGAGGCCTGGCCTTGTAGGTTGACACATTCCCTCAGACAGCCCAGCTTCTGCTGCCTGGGAGTGTCTGTGGCTGTAAATCCAGGATGGAATTGTCCGAGCAGGGTGGAAGGAGCATCACAGATCATCTCTCTGGTCTGTGGGCAGAACTGCAGCAGAGAGGGGCAGAAGGTGCTGCCACCAGAGCCCAAAGGGCCACTCTGGGAGTCCTGGGAAAGCACCAAAATGAACAGGGGAGGGCAGGAATGTTCAGAGCAGAGGTTTGAGAGGAGATGAAGGAATAAAACCCATGAGAGTGCTCGGAAATGCCGCGAGAGCTGTGCTGGCTCTGGCCGCAGGAGGGAGAGGGATTGGCTTCGGATGTTATCCATGGACTTTTCTGGGAGGCTGTTGGGGAAGTTTTCATAGGGTTTACCTTGAAGCAGATCCTTCCACAAGGTTTGGCTCAGGGGATGTGGGAGTGAGGCTGGACCACAGCCTTGCTGAGCCACTGGCAATGGCCTGTGCTGGTTTCTCCTCTGGATCCCTTTGCCTGAGTTCGTGGTCCTTTGGGGTTGTGCTGGAACCCGGGAGTGCTCCAGGTCTGCAGGGTGGGCAGGACATGGGGCCAGGACTGGTGTGGGTGGCAAGGCAGGGAAGTGGCACTTGTCCGAGTGGGGAGCCCTCCCTGGTCCCAGGCAGGGACTGCCCCTCCCTCTTCTTCATGGAAAACAGGGCAGAAGTCATCCCAGTGTGGTTGAATAGCTGG